CAAGCTCCACCATGACAATGCCCCCAGCCACACGGCCTTCATCGTTGCCAACTACGTGGCCGGAGCAACACCCCGATGGTCCCCCTTACAGTCCCGACTTGGCTCCGTGCGACTTTTTTTTGTTTTCCTGTCTAAGAGAGAGCTGAAAGGAAAGCATTTCGTTTCACATTTCTTCGATTTCTACTACAATTAATAAAATTATACTCGTAAAATTATTCATAAGTGATTACGTCAGTTTCAGAATCAAAGATGAATATTATTTAAGAATTATAAATTATGAGTGTAAAAACTCTAATAATATTCAAAAAATTTTGTATAAAATTTACACCGTGTAACACAAATGCAGCCAGACAATTATAAAAAAAAAGGATAGGCAGACAAAACTCTTTCATATTAAATTCATATGCTTTCCATTATCTCTTTTGAATATTTTCTATTTTTCTCATTCAATGTGTTTTTTCATAGATATAGAATTGTCTTGGCAGTTTTATTCATGTCATGCCAACCTTTTCTTCATTATTTTTAAACATCCGACAATATCGAAATTTTAACGAAGTAATATACGCTACAACGAGAATCTTTTTATAGAACGAGTAAATGAAAGAATCTCTCACAATCATTTATACATTGATCCTCAAGTATTTAAAAGGCGCGCACACATACATAGCAAGAAATAGAAAATACAATATATCATTGTATTTCCGCGCTACTCAGAGAAGAATTTAATTTTATAGGATTGCAAGTGGTATAAAATAGAACATTAGATAATAAACAATTCGTATAATGTATAATGTGTTTACGGAATTTATGTATGTATTTAAGCTATATAGTAATGAAACAGAGAAATTAAATGAAATTTATTTACACGATAGTTTAAGTTTCTCTAAAATGTTATGACAAATAGTATATTTTATTTTCCCGCGAAATTATTTTTAAACGTTAAGCCATCGAATAAACCGATACAATAGCCAGAGCTTTTATTCGATATCGAGCAATCGATGAAATTCCAGATATAACACGATGGAAAATAGACTGAGCAATTTTGTTCGAGGTATTTTGATCAGAGATTGCATCAGGAATAATATGCAACGTCGATTGTACGATTGCTAAACGCAAGCTCGTACAGCTAGGAAAGATAAGTTGCAAGTTGCATCAACAGCATATTGTATACGAATATTATCATAATCGAGAATCTGCCGGCGATTTTCTTGGCAACTCCTGTCTATCGATCTCTCGAATAAGAATCATCTGACGTCAGGCCAGGAAGTGTTCTTCGTAACTGTCGAAACTGAAAGTTTCCAAGCAGATCGCGGGACAGCAGAAATGAGAGGAGGACGATCAAAGTCACGTCTGTTAAGTTTCGAAAAGGAGTCAATTAAAAGTTCCAGGAACTTGTCTCTTCCGTGCCGTGCATACGGATTTTCTACGACGAGATAGCATTCTGGAATTTTTCACTTCGCCAGTTATTACGGCGAATCCTCGTCTCGAATCCGTGAACGAATTGAATATAATGCGCCACAGTCGGATTTTTAGTCGCTTGCTTCTCAGGATCTACCCCACTTTCGACGGTTCTGCAGAATTGAATTTTGCGAGAAGAAAGTGGCCAAACGCGAGCAAAAAAGGATATGAGAGGAATTTGAGTCTCCCCGTACACTGCACTTGTTGCCGTTGGAGCAATTTTGAAAAAGTATCCTGCTTTTTCAAACATAACGTGAATTCCACGTGGAAAACAACGGTGTCTTGAATCTCAAAGAAGCAACATAAAAACCACTCCTACGTGCCTGAACTAGCTGGCACGGCTGCCGACATCCTGAGAAAACTTTTAGATTGCGCGTCATCTCATTTTCAAATCCGCGTGGGTCTCTTCCGCTATTTTGGCGAATCTAGAGATGTTTCGAGCAAAGATATTTGAGAGATATCTTTTCTCTGGAGAAAAGCGCGATTGGTTGCGGAAACGAAGATGTACGAAGGAAAATTTTGATATATCTTGCAATATATTTCATTCAAATTCTAATCATATTTAATAAAAGGAATGTATTTAATAAAAAAAAAATGTATTTTCACGTCATTATAAATATTATCAAGAGTCACCCCATGTTTTTTAAGCGAGTCAGCGAGTTAAGAGCATCCGAAATTATCACCTCAAAAAGTCATCTTTTCAAAAAGTCTCCTTTTCATATTTCCAACGATAGATGGCACTTGTTTGTTACTCATTTATTTATCGATTTATTTATCCATAGTTTCATTAGCACTATATTATATATTGACATTTCACTGTATAGTTACTTTATATAGTAAGTTATTTTTAAAATTAATTATTAAAATATAAAACGGATCGCTTGACGGTTTAATGTCTAAACGTCATTGCGTATATATTCATACCTTTATCAAATTTACAACGCTATCACTAGCTTTATCTGAGTTTTGATATCAATAACTTTAAATTAAAATTATTCAGAAACTAAAACCGCAATCAAAAATCTGAAAACACTTTTATTATATAATGTTATATATCGGTATCTTTCGATTGCGACCAATCCGAATAATATAATAAAATTGGTGAAGTCGATACCGAGATCTAGAGATCGTTTCCCAAAAAAAAGAGACCATATAGCTTTTCAAATTTTTTTAGACGTACGTGTGACAAGAGTAAATATACAATATAAAGCGTTTTGTCCATTAAACTGTTGTTTATAATGCTTTCATAGAATTTTAATTTTAATATTAGGTATAGTAAAAAGAAATCCATTATTTTTCCAATAGATGGCTTTAGTAATCTGTATCACGCGTAGACGAGATACAAATTACTAAAGCCATCTATTAGAAAAATAATGGATTT